AATTCCAAACAAGAGGCTGGGATCCAGGCCCTGTTTATGTCATGGCAAGCTCTGTCCTGCCAGAAACTGCCCACCTCTGACCCCCGGCCCTACCCCCCAGGGTTCTGCTAGAAGAAACATTGAGCAGGGATGGGTGGACAAGCCTTCCCTGTCTGAGGCTGGAGGCAAACTGTTTCTCCATTATTAGCCTGAGCCCCAAACAGGTGGGCCTGGCATGGGGACCTCCTTTTCAGTTGACTGGGGAGCAAACGGGTTGGAGGTGTTCTTCTGCTTCTCAGTGTGTCTGTGTCCTGGCTGCTCCCTCCGTAGCCCACCCACCTCCCTGAGCTGCAGTCTGGCCTGTCAGAACAGCCTCCCTCACTCATAAGTAAACACAGCGCAAGGGACAGAGCCTGAGTGCTCCCCCCCCCCAAGTACAGCTGCCCTGGGCAGGTTGTAAACCAAGCAGGTCTACTATAAATACAAAGCAGGACCCTCCATAAACAGGAAGGGAGAGCAGCCCCAGCAGAGGCACCCGGTGCAGGGAAAGGAGGCACCATAGGGCCTGAAGTGCAGGAGGGATGGGGGTGAGATGGCCATCACCTCCAGCTGTCCATCTTCTCACACACTCCAACCCCATGGGGCAGTGTCAGGGTCCCAGGAAGTATCAAGGGAGCGAGTCAAGAGCTGGATCCTGGGGGCAGTGAAAGAGAGAGAGCCTGTAGCAGGAAGTCCCCAGGCATCCATTCTGGAGGGGCAGGTTCTCAACTCCAAGGTGAAAAGCCAGTTTGTCTTGAGCATCTCCTTCCTCCCTTTGCCCTCTCCTCACTGTGTCCTTCTTCTCTCATCCCTGGCTGACATCTCCATGCTTCCAACACATTGGGTTTTCAAACATTATTTCATTGTGGCTTCACGTGCATGAGTGTTTTTACTGCAGGGATGTCTGGCACCGCAGGCACACCCGGTGCTCTTGGAAGCCAGAGAAGGGCATTGGATTCCCTGGAGTTACAGAAATGAAGTTACAGATCCTCAAGAGACACCTGGACCGTCATCCACAAGACAGCAAGTGTTCTTATCCACCGAGCTATTGCTCCATTCCCCACTCCCAGAGCATTGTTTAAGGTCAAAATTTGGAGCTAATACAATCATCCATTTCACATGTCCATGATCAGCCAGGACTGCAGCTGTGGAGACATCTGGCACATGTCCAGCCCTATCTCCACACCCATTTTCCCCTCCTTTCACCTGTGTATGTGGTCCTACGTGCCCCATGTGACCTCAGAAGGCCAAGGGGAAGGGCAAAGGGATCCAAGCAGACCCCATTCTAGTGTCCAAGCCCATGCCTGGGTGTAAGGGTGAGAGGAGAGAGAGGTGGGGCAATGTGAATCCCCCCAAATCTCCTAGGACTGGAGAAAGTACAGAGGCTGGCAGACCTTCCAACCACTGCCCCCATCCCCCGACTAATTGCTATTCATAGGACACAGCTGGGTGATTAATGGCCTGATTAATAATTACTCAGGCTAATAAAATAATTAATTAATTTGGCAAGCCATTATTTATCTGGCTGTCCTCAACCTGAAACTCAGAAACTAGGAGTTTGGGAATCTCCCCTCTGGGCTCTTTCAAAAACACAGTCTTTATCAGGGTGGGTGGGGGAATCTGGCTCCATCACAAGACTCTTCCAAGGTGGAAGAGGGAAGGCTGAGGGACTCTGAGAATACAGACTGAGGACACAGCTGGGACTACAGAACCTCAAATGGGGAAAGAGCTGACTTGTGGGTGAGGGCTCTCAAAAGGGCCAGAGCCCTGCCTCTGAGCACACAGGCTCCGGAACTCTCCTATGTATTCTCTCTAGCACGTGATTGATGAGCAACAAATGATCTTTATCTCTCCTTTTGTCCCCCAAGCCTCAGCCTATGAGTGAGGACTAGGTGGGGCCCAAGAACTACAGGGAGACTTCTGAACCCTGCAAGGAGCAAGGCCCGTCCCATCTGCAACTAGGCTCTTCAGTGCCCTTAGATTTGGGTTCCAGTAAAACCAGAGAAATAGGACTGCCAATATGTTGGGAGGCGAAGATGGAGGCAGAACCTGCTTCAGGAGTGACTTGTCCCATTGTCTTATAGGCAGGTAGACCTATAAGCCATGTGGTCCCCTTGGGTGCTTTAGTGAGAGACCTTAGGTGGACTCATAGCAATGCTAAGTATGGAAAACCAGAATAACAGATCATGCCTAGTGTAAAAGCCTCCAAAAAAAGAGATGCTTCTAAAATTCATGTAGCCCAGGGTGCAGTACCAGGGAGTTGGAGGCAGAGGATCAGTTCAAAGCCAAACTGGTCTACAAGTTAGAGGCCACGATGGACTCCATGGGAAGGAAAAACTCCAAAGTGGATCTTTGAAGCGGCCTTTAAGAAATGACCAGGAATCTACTAGCGTAGACTACAAGCCATGGCCAAGGCTGTTGACGAGCAGGACAAGTGGGAAAGTGTGCGTGAGAAGCAGCCGAGTGGACTCAGACAAAGCTGACATGGCCAGAGTGCAGTCCTTTCCTGTGGGCAGTGTGGAGGTTGGAGAGATGCCCACTGGTTTGTGGAAGGCATCTCTAGCAAATGGGGAAGAGAGCTGATCTATTGGACGAGAAGCCTCAGCGTCGAGCTGCTGGGTGTCCCCAGTCTCCTGTTCTCCAACCGCTGAAGAACTGGGCGGAAGCTCTGTTCTTAAATCTTTCCTTACTTCTGAGGGATGGAGAGGAGACAGGCAGCTAGCTAATAACCATCAGGGTGCACTGGCGGCCTGCAGTGACGGCGGCGGTGCTGCGGCCAGCAGAGGGCGCGCGGGAGACGCGCCGCCACGAGCAGGCGCTCCTGCTCACAGGCGCCCCCTGCCGGACACCTGCGCCAGTGTCACTCGCCTGGAGTGGTCGCAGGCAGAGTTTGCCGCCCCTACTATGTGCATCCGAAGTGCGGCCACCTAGGGCGGCCAGCCCGGAGCGGGGGCGGGGCGCAGGGCCACCCGGACGTCCTAGTGGGCGGCCACTGTTCGAGCACCTGGTTTCCTTCCGCGGGGGGAGGGCGATCCACTCCACCTGAGCTTCCTCCCACTGCCTCGCCCTTGGCAGTGTTTCCCACCTCTCCTCCCTCCACCTGTTTTCATTATGAGGGGGTTTCAGGTTACAATCTCATCTTCAGCCCTTCACCCTGAACATCCAGGGTTGACTCCGTTGGGTAAGTTCTTCCTGGTGTCTAACCATCATTCCTCTTACTGCAGCCGCAGCCAAATCTTACAAGCCATAGCCTCACTGGAGAAAGTGGCTGCCTCAGTTTTCCCTTTCCCATGGTCACAACTCCATTATCCTCCAGGAAAAGCCCTCCCCCTTCTCATCTTGCATTCCGTTCCCCTTTTGCCATCTGGGCCACCCAACGCTGCTTCTGATCACCCCCTTCCGTCTAATTTCCTATCTCTTCCGCCTTCTCGGTGCGCCAACACCCAAGCCCCACGAAGACACTGAGCTCGTGGATAGCCTCAGTTTCCCTGTGGCTCCCTCCGCGTCCTTGGGCTCAGGGAGCCGGTAGCTCCCACGACGGGGGTAAGGGAGCTGAAGGCCGTGGGCGGCTGGGCGCAGCCGCGGGGGAGCGGGGAGGGAGGTGTGCCGTGGGTTGTCTGCGCCACGGCGGGCGCCCGGGGCTGCGAGCCCCGCACCCGGGCCGCACCGACGCAGGGCGAGCGAATTCCCATTCATAGCGCAAGGAAGACCCCGTGTGGCCGCTGTGGGAGGCGCAAGCCAAGGAGAGCTGCCAGGAGCCAGACCCGATTCGGGGGTCCTCTCCCGGGGTACGGACTCACTCTCCGACGTCCTCAGCAAGTCACTGCACCTTGGAAGCTTTCAGCCTGTTCACACACACTCAACACACAACCACCTGAACTTGGAGGATGATTTCACCAAACGACAAGGAGAAATAAAGTACGAACAGCAAGTGTGATTGTGGTTAGACTTTCCGAAGGATTTCAGATAGGGAGGCAGGAGACAGGTCTCAATGAAGGAGGGGTGGAGGAGGACAGATCTTCAGTCCGGACATCTCCTGGCCCTAGGAAGAGGAGGTTCTGGGCCTAGGAAGAGTGGACTGTCAAGGAATTGCTGTGGCCTGGCCTAGCGTGCCCCACCTGCTTGTACAGGAACCGGCGGTGGGGACGTTCCTCAATGGCCGGGAACTGCTCTTTGCCTGAGTGTGTGGGAGCCTAGGTCACTAGGAACGGTCATCCGATAAACAGGACTGGGACCATGCAACCCCCCCCCCACACACACACACACCCTAACTTTTCCAAGCAAGAGCGGTGACAACGCCGCTCCATCCTCCCTCCTTGGACTCAGCCCCGTCGCCATGTCGTTTGCATACATTTGCATACCCAGCTGCGCACAGCTGCCTTCGGCTGCGGGCCATCAATTCGTGGTAGGCGGGTGGCATGGCTGGGCGAATGAGCACCCCACCGGGCAGACTCCGTCTGCCCTGACTGCCGCCGCCCCCGCCGGCTCGAGCCACCTTCTGGGCATCCGTCTGCCTCACCCAGCCGCAAGCCTGCGACTCTGGAGCTTAGATGCCAGATAACCTGTGCTCCCTCCTGAAAGACTGGTGCAATCTCCTAGATGGTTATCCTACTGAAATGGGGTGTATGCGTTTGGGGTAACCCCCAAGCTCCAGGGACTGCTCAGAATTTCGAACAAAGATTATGGTGTCTGCTCTGGCTGAGCACATCCTTCGCCTTCTGCTAACAGCCCTACGCAGCTTTATCACTTGTGTCCACAGACCTCCTGTCAGCGGACCTCAGACACCCCGCTCTCATGCTGCCTGCCTAACTCAGCTCAGGAGCTGTTTCCCGCCTGAACTGCACTTCTGCCCTCTTGTATCCTGGTCAAACAGAGTTGGTGGTATAGGCCTATAATCCCAGCTGCTCCAGGATTGAAACAAAAGCATCACAAATTCAAAGCAAGCCTGAGCAATGGAGAAAGACCCCATTAAAAATAAATTTGTGCTCACTTCAGCAGCACATATACTAAAACTAGAATGACACAGAGATTAGTATGGCCCCTGCACCAGGATGAAATGCAAACTGGTGAAGTGAAGCCTCTCATATTTTTTGAACAAGTGCCAGGACAGTCAGGGAAACGCAGAGAAACCCTGTGTCGAAAAAACTAATAATAAGTCAGGTGGTGGTGCACACCTTTAATCCCAGCACTCAGGAAGCAGAGGCAGGTGATCTTTGTGAGTTCGGGACCAAACTGGTCTACAAGGCTAGTTCCAGGACAGCTTTCAAAGCTACACACAGAAACCAGAGAAACCCTGTCTCGAACCCCCCCCCAAAAAAAAGAAAAAAAAACTAATAATATTTTTTTTAAAAAATTGCCTCAGGCTATGGTAGCACTGGGAGGCAGAGGCAGGTGGATCTCTGTGAGTTTGAGTTCAGCCTGTTCTACAGAGCAAGCTCCAGGACAGTCAGGGCTATACAGAGAAACCCTGTCTTGAACCCCCTCACCTCCCCCAAAAAAACTGTCTCAGATGTTAGCTGACACCTGTAACCCTAGCACTCTGGAGGCTGAGGCAGGAGAGTTATCTTGAGTTTCTGTTCAGTTTGGGTTAGGTGGTGGATTTCAGGCCAGCCGGCTTATTTTTAAAGGGTGGGGATGTAGTTCAGTAGTAGAGCACTTGCCTAGTGTATGCAAGACCCTGGGTTCTTTCTACAGCAGTGATCTCACACATCTCAAGATAAAATGAGCTTCCTTCTGCCACCCTCCCTCAGGACTCCTGACAGCGAGGCCTTTTCTCAGGCTCTGCAGAGACATTTGGTCACTTGCACTCTCCAGACTGTCTGCTCTATAAAGACAGGAACCGTGTCTGTTCTTTGCTGTGTCCTACTTTGGGCCATAGAGTCTGGAGCCCCAGGGACTCTCTGAGACAGTGGATGGTGAATTAGTGAAGCCTGATCCTTTCAGGCACCAATGCTTAGCGCATGCAGACACTCCAAAGTCATCCAGGCAGCCTCAAGGATAATGGGGAAAACCCACATAGGAGATTCTCCCTCCTATGAGCCCTGTCCTACCTCAGTTCTCCAAACCATCACCCCACCCCACCCCACGTTCAAGACTTGAGAAACCTGGGGCATGGGATGCAGGCTGCAGGAAGAGCTCCAGACTGAGCCAAGAGGCCATGGTTCCAACTCCATTGCGGCTGGCCGCGGAAGAAAAGCCTCTTCCTTCGAAGTTTACACTGAGCTACAAAATAGGAGTGACCTGGTAGACCCCACTCTACCAGTAAGAATGAAACTCTTACTGGTTCCCCGGGCTTCAGGTGGGGAAATGGCCATCGCTTGCTTCTGTGCTCGTGGGGAGGAGAACATGTCCCTGGCCACCCTGGCATTGGGCTTAAGCGCTGCCAGCATCCAGCCGGCTTGGGACTCCACCGAAGGCCCAGGTGGTGCCTGCTCCGGCACTGAGCTGACCTGCATGCGATTTTCACCGTGGCTGCCAGGGGGCAGCACGAAACCCCAAATCACTTCGCGCTGCTGGACGCCACAGCCCTCGGGACTGGCCCAGCTGTTGTGTTCTTCTAGAGGCTCAACCTCCTCTTATAGTGGTCACAGGTCCTAAATAGGTGGCTGAGGACTAGCTCCTCTGGGAAAGGAGCTTCTACGGGGAGTCCTGCCAGAAACAAGCCTGGCTCGGATATAGTTTCCTCTGATCTGTAGGTGCCTGCATCACCTGGGAAGAACACAAAGGATGTGAACATTCCCGGTAGAGACAGGAGTAATAAATGAGAAGCATTTGAAATGGTGGTTATGTTAACTTGATTACATTATTTCACACTGTATATACATATTACTTTGAACCTTATAAATTTATACAAGCCGGGCAGTGGTGGCACACACCTTTAATCCCAGCACTTGAGAGGCAAAGGCAGGAGAATCTCTGTGAGTTCGAGGCCAGCCTTGTCTACAGAGCGAGTTTCAGGACAGCAAGGGATATTACACGGAGAAAACCTGTCTGGAAAAACAAAAATTTTTAAATTTTTAAATTCTGATTACAATAAAAATAATAAAGCATCCTGGGAAAAATGAAAGCATGAGTCAATACTTAAACTGAGTCTCTCAGGAAGCTGATAGACGGTTGGTGTGATGTCATGTCATACAGCCTGTGCAGCAACAAAACCAACATACTTGTATTTTGATGGTGCTAGGGGTGGTGCAACCTGACCTCATTGCTTAATGATTCTGCCACCTAGCCTGACTTCAGCAGAGCCTAATCTGTTCAGGGACTTTGGCACCAACAGAAGAGGTCACCTCTGAGTTTATACCACCCGCCCTCTCACAACCTACTTATCCTAACGTTTTATGTGCCCTGGGTTCCTCACCTGCTTGATATCCTTCCAGATTGTACTGCCTCTAAAGCACTCTGGCCTCCTGCCTGTAGTTTCCTGCTTCTGGGTGGCATGGCTAGTTTTATATGGTGCTGAGGACCAAAGCCAGGGCCTTGTACTTGTTGGGCCACTATTGTACCAACTGAGCCGCATCCCCAGTTCCCTCTTCCCTCCCTACTCCTACTTCTCCCAGGCCTCTCTGAGCAGAGGACTTGAGGGCCCACATTAAGGAGCTGAGGTGGGTATTGCTTAGGGACAGAGGTGCAAGCTTGCAGAGGAGCTAGTTGAGAGAGCTGTCCTTCCATAATGACTTCTTCCTCTCTACCAGGAAAGAAACCCCTCCTGTTCACTCATTTTCATAGACGATTGCAGATTGTGTGCTGTTTTGAGCTTTCCAGGCAACTGCTTCCTGCCCATGTCCACTAAATGTCTCAACTTAAACTAGCTGGAATTTAGAGTAGTCAAGTGAGCACAACATATTCATATGACTCCTTCCCTCCAACTCACCCACACCAGGATGCTTCATTTCCTTGTGAGGGACCTAGAATTGTCACTTGGCTCCCAAGATCTCTAATAGAGACTTGGTATCCTTCCCTGTGGCCACTTGAACTGCCAAGTACTTGCCCCTCCCCTCATTCCCTTTCTGGGAGGCCTAAAGCAGGCCTGAAGGTTGAGGGGATCCAAACTCCCCAATCTCCTCACACTAGAGTATCAATTAAAGTCATTAGAGATGCACAGGGTCCCCTAAAATTACCTATGTATTCTTCAGGTTTCTAGGGAGCTCACGGAGTTGTAAGGGAACCTTGTCCTGTCTCAGAACACAGGAGGGCAGGTGCTGAGGTGATCCATCACCCAGAGCTCTTTGGGAGAGATGTTCTAGCTGCTGTTTGTAAGGAGTGAGAGCAAAGACACAGAAGCCCAGGCATGCACCCTTCACAGGCTTCCTTGCCCTTGGATGCATTTGGCACACACAACACATCTGATTTCGCTAAGTGTCTCAGCTCTGCCTTTCCCCCATTTTATTCATCTGCTCATTTTTGCAGGGACAAGTCCGTTTCTCTCACTCTTCCTCCCTGGGCTTGTACTTTGGTTCCCGTGCTATCCTGACCAGCTCTTAATCCATGCCCCAGACTTACTCCTCTGATTTGAGAAGGGGAGGGTGGGCTAGGGAATGGGATGCTAGGGACATAGCTCGGTTGGTAGAGCACTTGCTTTTGCCTAGCTTGTATAAGGCCCCAGTATCATAAAACCAGGTACAGTGGTGCATACCTAGAAGCCCAGCATTTGGGAGGTAGAAGCAGAGAGATCAGGTTCAGGCTCACTGTTAGCTATACAGAGTTTGAGCCACCACCACCCTCCCACCCCTCCTCCCCTGGGCATCAGGTTTCCAGTTGCCTACATGCTCCCCAAGGCTGAGGAATAGGACATTTTTACAGATATGATAAACAGAACCATTATTTCAGAGAGAAAATAGGCATGGTGGTACATGTCTGTATTCTCAGCACTCAGGAAGTTAAGGCCAAAGAATAAGAGTTTGGACCATCCTAGGCCACATAGTCACATAGTAGGACCCTGCCTCAAAAAAAAAAAAAAAAAAAAAAAAAAAAAAACTATTTTGTGTTTTCAAAGAGTACAACAGTTTTGTAACAGTGACTTCCAGTCTTATGGCAACCCCTGCCCTGAGATGGCATGGACCCAAGGATTATGAAATTCTCATGAGTAGCCATTATCGGATGGAGAGATGTTTCAGTGATTAAGAACATTTGTTTTTCAAGATAGGGTTTCCTTGTGTAACCCTGGTATAACCTTGGAACTCACTCCATGAAACCAGGCTGGCCTCACAGAGATCCTCCTGCCTCTGCCTCAGGATTAAAGGCGTGTGCCACCATTGCCTGACTTAAAAATTGTAAAGTGGTTGTAATTTGGGGTGGGGTGAGATGGTACTGAAGACAGAACCCAGAACTACATGCATGCTTAGGCATAAACAGCTCCACAGCTAGTCCTCCAGCCCTGACAGGTCTTTCAAGGTCAGGAATGCCTGCTTTATACAACATTGCCGAATGAGGAGGTCTGAAGACAGACACTCTGATTCCCAGGATGCAATTTCCCCTTCACTAGACTCCGAAGTGCAAAGGGGAAAAGAAGTATTCTTTCCCCTTGTATCCCTCTTTCTTAATCCCCTTTATTAGCTCTCTGACATGAAAAGGGAATAAGAACAACCAGGAACTGAGAAAGGGCCGTCCGTAAGCAGGAAAAGGGTCGGGAGAGGGAAGAAAAAAGCCCTCAGAGCAAGCCTGGTGTGTAGCAGAATTACAGCTGCAGCTCTATAACAGAACACGGTGCTGCTTTCTCCTAGGAGCCTCAAAGCAGGCATGGCCATTCTTTCTCTCCACCTCCAGCTTCCTACACAGACAGGACCGAATGAGGCAGTGAGGCAGAAGCTGGAGCAATGACAGCCAAGCCCAGATCCCTAGGATCTCGGCACCACTGGCTCCCACCATTAATGGATATATACAAGAAAGCTGACAATTAGAGGGGGAGGCAGGCTGCCTCAGGAGGTGCTGCAGGTGTGGAAATAGCTGGACACAGTCCATCCCACTCCTACATGGCAAAGGCAAGGGCTCCTGTTCACCTGCTTCCTTGCAGATGTGGCAGAATTCCACAAGCTGCAGCAGCTGTGGCCAATGCTGTGACTCCTCCCTGTGTGCTTCCTTTTCCAAAGGCAGCA